TTCCATTGCGCCAATACTAAACCAATACTAAAGTCTTGGAATCCTTATTAGGGGGGCACTTTTAACAAGCTTCCAGCCCCAATCCTAATTGGGTGCTTTATTGGGGTGGTGTCCCTCAAAAGAAAACAGCTGTCTAGCTGCGACTGTCTCTCTCCCGTACATGCTGGCTAATTAATTAACCTGTCTGGCTGCAAACAAACAACCAGTAAACTGAAAAACAAATAGAATGATATATAAAATGTCCTTATTATACTCGCGGACCTTACAATTCAATCCATTTCCTCCAAATCCTATGTGAACCCTCACATTGTTGGAAAAGCAAAACAAAACCCAATTCCGAAAACCCCAATAAAAAAAAATAAAAGAAAAAAAACGTGGGGGAGGATGTTTTTACTAATTGGGGGGGGGGGGGGGGTATTTATTAATAGGGGGAAGATATTATTTTGCCACTCCTTTATTTAGAACAGGGTCGGCCACTCCAAAGGAATCGGAAAAGAATCATAAAACATGAACACAAAATAGACTGTTGGGGCATCAAAACCGCGTCCCTAGACCCATGGGGGGTTCTAATGAGCGAACCACTTGGTAGATGATCGGCAAGCAAAAGGAAACCGCCCATTTTCGGGGCGTCCCATCACTTTGAGAACCCAAAGCGGGCCATGGCCCTCCAAATGGCCCAGTTGGTCATGGGAGAATCAACGCACACCTTTTCTTGATCCTGGCCTTAAAGGGAGCCTCCCCGTTTGTTGGTCTTTTCGGGCAAAAAAAACCCAACAAAAGAAGGCACACAAGAAGCAAGCCACTGGGTCTCTGGGGTTTCCATTGACCAAACAGCTCCCCTCGGGCAGCCCGGCTGCTGTCTTCAGCCTGGCGATGGAGGTTTGAGTGGAAACGGGTCGGGGAAATGAACCAAGGCACTCCGCGAACAGGGGTCGGCTCCCTTCAAGAAATTGACCGGCATCGTCCCATGTTCGTGGGAGAGGGTAATGGCTGAAAGACAAACCAAGGGGTAACTAGTTGAAAACTGAGGGCCCCAAGAAGTCTTCGAGAGCCTTTTAGTGGATATGGCCACGATGTTCCTATGAACTTGCGTCTAGCTTGGGTGATTGAGTTGAACCCGACCCTGGCAATGTTGATGGAATTCTCGAACCTGGTGGATAAGGGGGGGCCAAAGTCAAGTGAAGGGTCTCCAATGGTCTCCAAAATGAGCCACCCCAAACAAGATCATTCAGCGGCGTATTTATCCTGGGTTCCCAGTAGTTCCTTCAAGTCAAGGAGGACAGAATTTTGCCTTGGTAACGTTTGGAACTCTGCGCACCGCCTTACTCGGACGTTTGTCACTTGTGCTGGCCCACACCCCTCTTTTGCGACTCGGGCTTCTACCCTGGAGTCTCCAAGGCCACTTCATCAGCAGGATGCCACCGTCCACGTTTTCTGCCTACCATTCGCACGTGCATCCGTCGGCCTAAGCCTTGTGCAGGCCCCGGTGCTCTGAGCCACAGGAAGCACAAGGCTTTCAAGGCAAGGCGGAGAATTGACTGGCTCAAGGGAAGCCACTGCCATCTGGCAGGATGTAGGACCGATTTTGAACTTAGCTTTACACCTCCAATAAATGTCAGTAGAAAAAGAAAAAAACAAAGGTGGATTCTAGGTCTGGAATTTGGAGGTATGGATGCTTATATGCCACCAAAATACGATTGTAACGTGGTTTTACCTCTCATACAGTGGTGTAAAACTCCAGACCTCCAAAAACCTGACATTAATTCGTTCACGGAAAAGAGTGAAGATTTGAGCATGGTGAAGGGCAACACACCTAATCGATTACGAAGCCAGAGGTGGATGGTGCTGGTTTGGAAATCCCCCAGGGATGACCTTCAAATCGGCCGAGCAAGACGGCAGAGTTACGTGCAATGCTGCGAAGTGCAGAGGTACACTTCCATTTGCTTAAAGGCGTCTATCACTACTGGACATATTTTTCTTTTTGCCAGGGGTCTTAACCAAATGGAAGTCCGATGGCCACTTCTTCACGCGAAAATGTGAAGCCTGAAAGTGCCCAGTGTTCTTCCCGCCTCGGTGGCTGGCTCGGCAGTCTTCTCGCCTTTCGCCTCGAAAAGGGCGGAAACAAACTCAGCCCTCAGGACAGGTTCCCTCTGGTTTTGCTGTAAAACAATCCCAAGGATCCATGGGAGACAAACCCATTAGCATAGGTGTCCTTTTTAGGAGAAATAGATGGCCCTTTAAACCACCAGGTAAACCAGGGCCATCTATTTTTCCAGCAAAACAACCAAAACAAAACCCTATGCCCATCAGTCTGCCAACGTTATTTTTTTTAAAGAGGGACCCTCGGAAGGACCTACAGTCCTACGTGGTCAGCTCGTTTCTGGTGAGCTTGCAACAAAGAAATGCAGTCAAATCAGTTTGTTGCTTCCAGGACCATGTTGGCTGATGCACACATGGGTGAAGCAGTCATGTTTAGGAGAGGACCCGTTTTTGGGGAGAAAACGAAGAACAAAAGGGAAACCGCCACTTTGGGGGTCCGAATCCCAATTTGGACTCGTCACCTTCCCCGCGCATAAGTTTGCTTCCTGCCATGAGCAATGGCGCACTTCTTGTCTGAACGCTGCTAGTCAAAACCCACGGACGATCGTCAGGTCAACGAAAAAGCACATAGAACGCAACTAGGTCCTCCAGTGCAGAGGTTAGAATCCGGGTACCTTTTCTTCCTGTAGTTTATTTTAGTAGGGGAACCCTCTTCTAAAAAAGGCTAAAAAAAGCAAAAACTACTGGGGGACCTAGGCAACTGCCACCCACTTCGAACCTCGAAGGCGAACACCCCAAAGGACCTGGAAACCACCTCCGAGCCGCGTGTGGCGGTTAACACTGATTCTGGTGCAAAAAATATGGAGTTTAAGCACATCACCTTTACAAGGGAAGAATCATCACCAGTGGTTCAAACATGGTCAAACCCATGCTCGCTCGGTTGCTTTCTGTTCCCCTGATACAAGTTTAACTTTTAAAGTGCACCTCTGAATGGGTGGCCTAGATGGGAACTCTGGTCCATGCACAAAATGAGCACCGCGGGGCTCGCGCCTCTGGCTCATCGGGCTCCGATGGCTCCTGAACTTGGGTCAGGTTTGGACGACCGAGGGCCCATTCACGTGGACATGAATGCACCTATGGACAAAATCCATGAAGCTCGCATGGATGAAAAACCATATATAGATGTAGAGAGAGAGAGAGATATACATATATATATATATAAACCAGCAACCAACTGGTGCAGTTTTGTCCACAGCAAAAAGTTGATGTGGACTCTTCCTCCCCAGCCCCAGTGGCTATGGACGCAACAGTTAAATATATGAGGAGCGGACGAAACCCTTTACTTGGCCTTAGTACTTTTTTTAACGTCATCGTTTTTGGGGGAGACCTCATCGTTTTACAGTGTTTTCGAACTTTGGCAGATCCGGCTCCAAAATCGCAACTTTCTAGCACAAGTCTAGTACGCGAAGTACACTTCCGCAGCTCCAGCTCGAAATTCGCAACTTTGTAGTACAAGTCTAGTACGCGAAGAACACTTCCGCAGCTCCAGCTCGAAAATCGCAGCTTTGTAGTACAAGCCTAGGCTGTACGCGAAGTACACTTCCGCATCTCCAGCTCGAAAATCGCAACTTCTCAGTACAAGTGTCGTATTTACAGAGCCGTGTGTTCGTTAAGGGTCATCGTTTTTGGGGGAGACCTCATCGTTTTCCATGGTTTTGGGATGTGTTACTCAAAAGCGTGCCCCGTCTTGATAAAGTGGTCTACGCGTGTTTTGTCCGTGGCTCATATGATTGGTAGCGGATTTCAAACGAGTACCCTCCGAAGCGAAGGCAAACAGAAAATCTCAGACCCCGGTGCCATGGAACCTGTTGCAGCTTGACACCTATCTGCGACTGCAAATGCCCTATGCTAAACTCCAAGTCCCGAAATGAGGGATCCCGTCGGAAAGAATTTCAATGGGATTCCCGAGTAAAGGACCTCAATGAACCCGTTGTTGAACCTCAGGCAAAGCCGGGATTGCTTGACCCCAGCCCATTGGCCCGCCAAACTGGGCCCGACGGAAATTTGGCACCCGGAAGCCCATCCACGAACCTGAAACCCACTGGCTTGTTCAAAATGGAGAAGGGGGGTCCCTGTTTCCAATCCATAATTCCTGGTGGTCAGCATAATAAGTTTAGCTGTTTGCTCCCGCATGCCCATGGTCGGTAGCTTTACCATTGTGGGAAGCATCCAAGCTGATAGCAGCTAAGCATCGATATTTCCAGAAGCCCGTTAACACGCGAGCGCAACCTATTGCGGACAAGGAACGATTACCCCGATTGATGCCTAGACGGCGTGCACATGGGTGAGGCCTTGAAAATGCAGTCCATATACGTCCTGTCCCCTGTACAGCATGAGGGAACTCATATCAAAACGGCCGAGCTGTCTTCAAACCAAAAACAAAAGCTACTGGAATTAGGACCCCAGCAAATATTGGAAAACCAAGGGACTCCGAAAAAATCAAAAAGGGAGCTAATTCTGGGGAAGAAAAGAGAACGACCCGTTTCTCCCATTCCAGGGCCTACAGCCGAAAGATTTTCCATGGTGTCTCGTCGGAACGGCGAGCGACCCTGACGCATTCGAGTCAAGAGTTGCAACGGCGCATCCCCGAAATCCGTGAGCCAAATGTGCATTCCATAAAAGGCCACTGAATTAATGCCTTTAGGCACTTTCCAACATTTGCCATCTTACATTGGAGCATGGTTGTGAAACAAATCGAGCGTTCCAGCCATATCATTGGATGGACGAGAAGGGGATCACGCGGTAACACCGAAAAGTCACCCCTCTATCCAAGACCATGCCTTGAAGCTTTGCCCGGCAGAAACGGAAGGGGCCAGCGGCGGCCAGCGCATGGCAGACGAAAGAATCTCTTTTCCGGGTTGAGCATTTTCAGTGGGGAGCCTACCAAAGGCAACGTGGGCTTAGTTCGGGATCAAGTTCTCAGTCTCCGCCGGCGAAAAGAAATGGACACAGTCGAGGCATCCACTACGCATAGACTCACATGCCTCCTTGATCATAGGCCAACACAACCACGTCAGGAGGGCCACGAGCAAGCAGCTGCCGCTGAAAAAGGACCAAAACCAGACCCGCGCGGACTTCATCATCGACGCTGCCGTTTTCGCGAGAGTTCCTGGCAGGGTTGGGCAAAATTGGTTCAAGTCGACCCCGCATCAAGTGAAATCAAAGGCGCTTCTTTCAACGACGGTGACATAGAACTTAAACGTGTTTGATCCAAAGACTTGCGCAAGCACATGGGTAGTGGGGAACATAGAAGTCCCAACAAATGCTTGGCTGTGGATCTCCCCTTAAATGCCAACCAAAAGAGGTCCATTTGGAGAACTCCCATCAGCTCCTGGCATTTTCAAGGCTGTGGCGCAATACTCCCCAGCCGCAGCGGATGCGGCTTGCGTCCGGACCCAGCAAGGTCGCACAGGCTCCCTGCCCCATTCTTTGGCCACTGCTTCCGCCTCCCACAGTTCAGGCTGGTATGCTCCGCTACTCTGGTAAAGCTCACCTGGCAAAACAAAGGGCAGCAACCCGTTAAGGCTTGGTTTTGATTTTTTGCCGGCAAGCCAAGCAATCAACAAAAACAACTCGTCTTGATCCATCCATCCTGAGGCTTCTGGCACGCCAAATTCATAGGCACACGTGATGGGCTTTGAACTGCTCGAACTCGGCTCGAATTCGTTGAACTCATCAATGGTGACCAAAGCCCAGGGCGAATATCGATAGCTGGTGTCGTCTGATGTCAATTGCCGCGCCTTTTCACTAGCATTCTGACTCCAACCTTGGCCAAACTCAGACACTCTCAACAAGTTATGGCTATGAAAGGAATACGTTGCACATCCAAAAGGGCAACTAAAAATACATATCAAGCCTGGCAATGTGGCTGATCTGACGGCCTTCTTCTTCAAATGCAAACTGCTTGCTTGGAGTGAGCTGCACCCGTTGGCCGAGTCGGCGAACTGCTTGATAGTCAGAGTGTGACGCTTCTGCACATTCCTCAGGGTTATTTAGAGCGTCAGGAAGCTAGACAAGTGGATAGCGACCTCCAGCTAACCCCGCGAAAATCCTTGCTCATAGACCATCTAAGTGCGACCCCAACCCGGTTTGAGTAGGAAAGCGGTATCGCGATAACATTTTCAATACGAATACCCAGGTATTTCCTACTCTGGTTTGGTCGCCAACAGGGTTTAGAGCAGCCCTGCTCCTCCTTGTGTAGATTGTCAGCTCCAAAAGGTTGCAACATTTCTTGAATCTCCTTTGGAGTGCACCAGCAATGCTTCACTTCCCCAGGTGCGGGGTCTGCATACTCTTGGCCCTGCTGGTCTGTGCCACATTTCCAAGTGCCTTCGGAGCGTACCTTATAAGCCTCTCCTGCAGTGCTAGTGTAGGTGTAGCCGTCGAACAGCTTCGGACTATAAATGATCTCACCGGTGCAAGTACAAAGCTCTTGCTCTTTGGCGCACCAGTATGTTCCCGGGCACATCGCGATCTGCTCACCGAGGAACACCGGGACTCTTTGCGAAGGCATGCTGCCAGCTTTGTAGCCAGCACAAACACGTCTGACATTGTCACTCGCATCCTGGTCCAACCCTTTCAAGGGAAATAACGCCTACACGAGTGGCCCCGACGTAACCAACGTGTATGAATTGAGCAGGCCTCTTGTTGCCTGATGGACCAATTGCAAACCACCCACTTGGGTTTTCCCAAATGAGAACCCCAATCCTTTCGAATCCGTCCTCATCTGCGCAACTAACCCCTGCGGCCAAGACCTAGGCCAGGGGCCAAGCTCCAGTTTATGTGGATCCAGGGGGGGTCACTTTAAGTAGGGTCCACTGAGCCTAAGCCAACCCGAAGGGCCTACATGGCAAACATTGGTGCCATCTTTGGTGGATCATTCAGGTGGGTCTCTTCCCGTCCACCGCTGTGCAGGTGGGTCCACTCTTAAAATTCCTGGCATCGGGGATTCTTTGGAAGTGATGTAGCCAACGAGGGGAAACATAATGGGAACTCTGGACGAATACGCCCATCCTATAAACAGGGGGGTGCCTCCCACAAAAGCGACGGACTCCCACCAACAGTTGTTAATCACCCAGGGCTTATTAATCCGGGGTTACCATTCCCCCCTTCCTGAGTGGTCTTCTCAAAGAACATAAAGTGGAGGCACTCAGGAGGTGAGCTCTGTTTCCTCTAGGGGTTTCCCAGGCCGGCTTCACGGCACCGAAGAACTGCGCCTTGCAGGACGTCTGGCGCCAGCCGCTCCGTGCCTCCCAGGCCTCCGCTTTGCGCTCCAGAGACCCGGCCCACCACAGGTGACAACCCAGCAAGATGTTCCTGGCTCCAGGCACGCTGGGCCCCGCGCTTTGCAAGTAGTTGCGGCCACCCACGTAAACAGAAGGAACTATGCCGGGGGGGGGGCTGATCGTTTTGCAGCGTTGCCGTGCCTTGGCATTACGCGAAGTACACTTTGGCGGCACCGGATTGAAAGTCGCAACTGTTCCGTGCCAGTGTAGTATTTTACGAACCTTAGCAGCTCCGGCCCTCGAAAGTCGCATTTTTCCAACATAAGTGTAGCACACAAAGTGTGCTGTACTTTGGCGGCTCCAGCTCGAAAATTGCACCTTTTCATTACAGGTGTAGCACGCGAAGTGCACTTTGGCGGCTCTGGCTCGAAAGTCGCGAATCTCCTCCTTAGTGTTTACAGTGGTCACACATGTGTACAAGGGTCGCACCCCAAGAAATTAAGCTGGATCTGCAAGGGTTATTATAGAGCCGCATTTGAACTAAGGGTTCTCGTCGTGGGGGACCTTCTCGTTTGCCATGGAATGGGCGACTTTTGCAAAAGCGCACCCCCTTTACTATACACACGTTTTGTCCGAACCTGCATGCAAATGAACAAGTTCTTACATGTAAAGGTAGAAACAAATAGCAGCCAAGGGGCACTATAATAATGAAGAAGCCGCAAGTAACCCATGGATCGAACTCGCGAGCCATGATAAAGGCAGGAAGCTCTTGCAATCCCAAAGTGCCTTGGACTAGCTTTGAGCGCAGCTTGAGCCGCAAAGGCCGCCTGCGTGGGCCGATTCCATCTCCAAAGCTGTCCCAAGTGCACGGACATGCTGGCAAGAAATGAGCCGTTTGCAGCCCGGCTCCAACATGAAGCCCACAGCTTTCGCGTTGGTTATGCATTCCAGTACTCACATGTATTCACCGTGGTCGTGCTTTGTCTGCCGTTGTTTCTTTGAACTGGACACTTTTCATCACCACTAACCGTACGCCTGTCTGGCCCAGCATGTACGAGTTCTTACTGCTGTTTGCTTCACTTCCTGACTGATTGGCAAAAACAAACACAGTTCGTTGTTTACCAATAAGGTGGTCTTTTCAAACAAGCGTAGGAGCCGGGCAGACGGGAAGTACTTTGTTGTACATTCCAGCCAGACATACTGGGCCCAATTTCAAATGACAGCCCGAAAACGCTTCCTAAATGAGGGCTTCAATTGATTCACAGAGACCTGGAAAGAGATTGCAGTATGGATCCTTCGTGACATGCCCCATCTTCGTGTTCCAGGTGAGGTCCAGCGGGGCCTCCGGCGGCTTCCGAGGTGGGCTTGAGCAGCATCCCCCCCCAACCAAGACACGTTGGTTTTGCCATACCTTCCTAGCCCTTTCTGGCTTTGTCCGCGTTTGTCATGGTAAACTGAAAGCTTGGCTCCAAGTTGGCCTGCAGGCATGGGAGGAATCATGGGGGTGACCGGAAGAACCGATGGAGAAGGATACCTTCCCGCAGACCCCGAAACTCCTTTCGAAGACTTGGTTCCGTTTACATTGCAGGGCCTTCTGGAAGCTTCCATGGGCTCAGGGAGTGCAATTTCCCTCCAAAGCCCAGCGTTTTCCAGGCAGGGATCCAAATTTTGATTCCACGGACCGAGAGCCCGAAGGCTCAGGCATCTGGCTGTGAGGTACAGGCCCTGAAAGCCCGCCAGCCACTGGGAACTGCCGATTTTCAGGGCTCCCCATTAGAACCCCCTGACAACACGGTAGGGACCGAACTGGCCTCTTTCAAAGGCGCCTTCTATAGGCTTCCATACAACACAAATCTCTAGAGCTACCAGTCGAACATGCATCAAACTAGGTGGTGGTGTTCGGTCCTTTCCGTTTCGCTTCAAACCCAAGAAAAGAAAACACCACACACACACACAGACACCCTTTCGAACCCGCCCCACAGAAGGTCCCTAGTGCTTCTCTCTCGCTCCCACGCGCTCACGCGCGTCCTCGAGCACGGAGGTTGGGAGCCACAAGGAGCCGCTGCTGCAGCGCAGGAAGGAGGTGCCCGACGGGTGGTCCACCAAGACCTGGCGGAAGCATTTCGCAGCCTGGCAGATTTGCCGGAAGAAAGTCTGCTCTGCCTTGGAGAAGCTAGACCAGCATTCTCAGCCGCTAGAAATCAATCGGCCTACCATGGCGTACTCAAAGCGTGCCTGGTGTGAGAAGAAAGTCTGCTCAAGGAGCCCAGCAACCTAACGCCAGATATACAACTTTTGGACCAAGGCCAATCTGAGGGAAGCCCAAGCCGAAACTACGAAAGCTCTGCGCCCATCGGCACAAGGTCATCACCATCAACTTCATTATCATCGTCTTCCTCTCTAGCCTCGGCTGGAAGACTGTGAGCCGTGCCAGTGTGCCAGTGTGCCAGTGTGCCAGTGTGCCAGTGTGCCAGTGCGCCAGTGCGCCAGTGCGCCAGTGCGCCAGTGTATCATGGGGGCTGGGGGGGAGGGAGGGCAGGGGGAGGGAGCCCCCATAAGCCCTTATTAATCCACTAATAAGGCCTTATTCGGAGCTTATTGAACCTCCCTCCCCCCCAGCCCCAATAAGTGTGACATACCAGTGTCATCCGCTCATTGGCTCGCTGAGCCAGGCGGAGCAGCCAGTCGTTGATCATGGCATCCGGCAACCGCCGGATCTGGAGATCCCGTATCGCACGCCTCTCCGGCTTTCCTTGGCTTCCTGGATGGAAGTGGTGCTATGCGAAGTCTTGGCATTCCGCATAGTTTCTGAGAGCCTGGACACACACTCTCGTTCTTGGTTTGCTTGTTGCGCGCCACCCGGCCAGCTTTCACTCTATGAAACCCACCCTTGGCAGCAACAAAGTCAACCCAGCACCAGCGAGGGCCCACACCGCTGCAATCCACTTTCACACGTTCACGGACCGGGTGCTCGACTTTTCACCTGTGCTCGGTGCAGTCCCGACCGAGTTCGTACTGAATGCCAAGGGCCATCGAAAGCCAGGCCGCGAAAGCTCAGCCAACACGCGCTAGCAAGTCGAGGGGGTTGGATGGAGAACCGCTCGCCCGCTCCCGGGTGCAACGAGCCGCCATCGCGAGCTCCAAACTCTTCGAACACTTTCAGGAGGACATCCTCTAAAAGAGTCAATGAAAATGTTCAAAGGTTAGGTTCCTCTAAAAAGGTATCCTAAGACTCCTTAAAAAAACAAATCCCTTCTTACAAACGCAGGATACCAAACAAATTGGCGACCTCAAAGCTGCCTGAAAGGCCATTGGATGGGGTGACAAAGGTGGACATGTTTGCGTTGATGCACATGTGCTTGCTCATAGTTGCAAGCAAAAGGAATTACCCACTCTGATCGCCTTCCCCTTCACCAAGTCTGACCCCTAGTATCAGTGGGACAAATCCCCTTGTCGCGATCCTGTGTTTGTTCGGCGTCTGGCCGAGAACTCGTTTTTCTTTTTGAGAGATCCACCGGCTCGCTCCCCATTCGGCTCGCCCGTTTCCCGGTACCTCCGCCGTCTGTTCGCAGCAGCTGATGAGCACATCCTACGGTCGAAAGGCGCTGGTGAAATGATCTGGGAACATTACGTAGTACAAGCAAACACGAAACAAGGGATCCCGAAGTACTTCAGAGACATTCATCATGGGTGTGTCCTCACTGCCTGGGTTGGCCAGAAACTAGTTCAAGCTGTTTGTTTATCAGCAAATTGTGTTTCCCTTTTTTTTTTTATTTTTTTTTGGCTTTTTGAACAGACAAGAAACTCTTGGAGCGAGTGAGGATCCCACGTTCGCTTTTGAAGCCGCAATCCTTCCAGTCTGTCAACTGTTTCTTTCTCACTTGAATTTTACCTAGGCTTCCCAACCCTAGGCCCAGGCTTCGCCTATGCCCAAGCCTTCCCAACCCAGAACCTTTTGAAACCCTTGCCATTGACCAATAAGCCCTCAGTAAGGCCTTCTTCGGGTCGCCATGTTTATGGGTGAAGTGGGAGCGGAAACGGGTACAGAACTCGAGAATTCTCAAGACAGCAAATGAAAGAGGGATCTCAAGAAATCAGAAGCTATTACTTGGTTCTCTTGGAAACCATGTTGTTGATGCCAAAAGAAGTTCCCAAGCTGACGATATAGATTGTTCTTCTTTCTTTAACTACTTTATATGGTTTTCCAGCCGCATCCTTGGTATATCCAGGGCTGGACAACCCCCCCTCCTCTCCGCCCTGACCCTTAGACCCCTCTCACCCCCCTCGG